ACTCATGCAGTTGTGCATGCAAATACGGGCAAGAACTAAAATGAGTTACTTGTACAGCTAGCTAAATTCTACATACAGCTTGCACAAGGGCTTGTATATCCAAATGTGGAAGGGGATGATTGGTATGGCCCAGTTTTCCTCACAAGAGTGCAAGTGATTTTCTCAAGGAAGAGAGCTGCTCTGTGTGGTCCTTCCATGCAGAAACAGATATTTGGATCTTGGCCAGAAAGCATGTAAGACTATGTGTCATTTTGCTATATTTGTTCTGCTTGTCACAATGTTGTGTCTTCTAACAAGGAAAGAATTTTTATTTTATTTTCCTTTGTTCCTTTATACTACTGAGTAAAGATTTTAATGCCAAAAGGACCTCTGTGATTGACACTTCTTTTGTCGCTTTGCACCCCCAAATGCCTCATTCATATTAAATAAAGCAGCATATTGTTGTATCAGAATCATTCAGTTATTGCCAGTGTTTGGCTGTAGCACTATGCAGAACAGTAAACTGACCTTGTAAGGTTGAATAGAGTACAGATGCCAGCTCCCCCATCTCAGTGGTTGTGGGGAACAGTAAGTGTGGCTTTTCTGTATGAGTACAGAAAGCTTTGCCTTTATCATATTCAGGTGTGATGTGATAATGCAGACAAATTTGACTACATAGCATTGACAGACCTGTTCAGAATGACGAGAATATTTACTGCCTTCACTCTGGTTTGGCCTTGTGATTGTCTCATATATACAGGTAGAATCAGCTATATGACATCATCACAGTGCATATAAAAATAAGCCATTGGGAGAAGTCATGTCACTCAAATTTGCTCTTCTCAGTTATCAAGGATGAAAATTTGGTCCAGCCCTTCAATTGAATCACTGTTCCTAGTAAGCTCGGCTCACCGGATGTCTGTCTGTGATGCTACAATTAGCTGGTCCCAGCTGCATTTGAAGAGCTCTTTAGTCTTGAGAATAGTTCCTAATAGGTTGTTGGGGAGGTCAAGGGCATATAGAGCAGGATATCATGCTGGAATGGCAAAGGAGGAAATGATGGACCTAGCAGTTGATTGCAATTAATTGTAATTATAATGTAGTTAAAAGGATATATTCTATAGCATAGCTAATAGTTAATGCTACAGAATGAATCACGCTGGAGCCAGGCTTTCCATGTGTGTACCCTCCCTAAATCTCTAGAATAGTTTTTTCTATTAAGGCTGAAGGAAATCTCTCCAGATATGCATCAAAACAGAGGAAATGTAATGACAATTAATCCTTTAAAAAGCAGGAAAGAAATAGTGAATGAAATGGAGGAGGTCACAACATATTTGAATGGATAAATGGATAGAAGTTTGTAATAAATGTACATAGATGTTTTTATCTATTTGTTTCTATAAAATATCCTGCATATCACTATATACTAGCATTTGAATAGAAAACTGGTGGGTTCCTTTCATTTATGATGACATTCATTATTTTTAATCTTTCCTGTTTTGAAAGCATTATTTTATGCATGTGATTACATTATTTTGGGTTTTTGAAAATATATCTTTTCAACTTTATTTTGTGGCTCCCCATAACTGTAAAGACCTATACATTGATGCAATGTAACTGAGACCAGGGGATGCGGCTACTCATTAAATTTGCAGATGACACCAAATTGGGAGGAGCAGCAAACACACTAGCAGATAGAGATATAATTCAACCAGGTCTGAACACACTGGAAAAGTGGGCAGATGTGAACAAGATGCAACTAAACAAGGATAAGAGCCAAGTTCTACATCTGGGTAACAAAAATGAGGAACACGCATACTGGATAGGTGATATGCTTCTGAGTAGCAATGTGTGCAAACAAGTTCCTGGGGTATGGACTGACTGAAAGTTAAATATGAGCAGCCAGTGTGATGCAATGACAGAAAAAGTGTAATGCAATGTTGGGGTGTATCAACAGAGACATAACATCCAAATCACAAAATATCATAGTCCCACTGTATACTGCATTGCTCAGGCCACATCTGGAGTATTGTGTGGAGTATTGGAGGCCTCACTTCAAAAAAGGATGTGGACAGAATGGAGGGGGTGCAGAGGAGAGCGATGAAGATGATCCGGGGCCTGGAGACCAAGCCCTATGAAGAAAGGCTGAGGGACTTTGGAATGTTTAGTCTGGAGAAGAGGAGGTGGAGACATGATTGCTCTCTTTTAGTATTTGAAGGGCTGTCACTTAGAGGAGGGCAGGGAGCTATTCCTGTTGGCAGGAGAGGATAGGACTTGCAATAATGGGTTTAAATTAAGGGTGGGAAGGTACTGGCTGGATATTAGGGGAAAAAAACTCTTTTACAGTAAGAGTTGTTCAACAGTGGAATCCACTGCCTAGGGAGGTGGTGAGCTTCCCCTCACTGGCAGTCTTTAAGCAGCAGCTGGACAAACCCTTGTCGGGGATGCTCTAGTCTGATTCTGTACTGAGCAGGGGGTTGGACTAGATAGCCTGTATGGCCCCTTCCAACTATGATTCTATTAGTCTAGAAATAAACAGTAAATATAGCTGAAGGTGGGGAGCAAATGACAGGTAGGTTGTTTGGTGGGTGGGATGGAGATACGAAAGTGGGGAAAGGAGAGAGGATATGAGGATTGCCAATTAGAGGCATGCAGGTACCTCAGCCATAGTTTTCCTGGGTAAAGGCTGGCTGCTGGGTAGGAACAAAGCAGAAAAAGGTGGGAGGTAATGGGACCTTTCAGGGAAAGGGGAAGAGGAAATAATACCAGAGGGGAAAATGAGACACCCCCCCACACACACACACACAAGTCCTTGGGAGTTCCCTTCTCATTAGAGCAGTCACTGATAGTTGTTGGAGGCTGGCTCCAGAGAAGTATCAGGCCAATGCCTGAGGAGATGGTTGCAGACTTTATTAATGCTAGCATGGTACAGAGATCCTTGGGGGTTAATAGAACTATCGCTTTACAGGTTTGTCAGATTTGTACAGGAATGTTACAAAACGAATGGTTTAGTCCTATGCAAAATTACTGTTACCTAAGCTCACTTATTTCAGTGGGCATACCAATGCATATGATTGCAATGTAAGTGCTACATCTCTTAACCTTAAGTAGGTCACTCTGATGTTAGCCCTATTTGGGAAAAGAAGATATATCTTCATACAACATGGGAACTACTTATCCCTGGCATGAGTCCATGCAGCTGCTGTATGTGATTAAAACTATATAGTCAGGGTGAATTATGTGGTCCTTTCCTACCAGATAGTCATGAGACTGGGAGGGCAGGAACAGCCTAGGGGATTGCCCACCCTTGTGCTTCTAGTACTCTGGCATGTATAATTCAGAAGCATAGGTTCATGGCACATACTACGTGTAAGGCTGAAAGGATGTCTCTCTTCATCTGTTTGACTAAGGTATCCTGTACCTCTTCTTTGTATTTTCTGTTTCCTGGGATCAACATGGCAATGGTTTATGATCATTTATGATGGCCTGTCCAATACTGTGAAATGTGCACATACAAACGTAATGACCATGGGAAAAATGAATGTCTGTAACATATACAAATGTTGTATAATAATATTAGAGTAAAGTGCAATAAGGGTTAAGGTTTTAAGGTCTCTGATCCAAAGATCTAGAGTCTTTCTAGGATATACATGGAATATACATAGTGCATATTCATCCACTGAAACACTGTGGGCAGTATCAACATAAGCTTTGGGTTGTACATTTAGAACTGTCCTTGGCATTGCAATGAAGAGAAAGTAATATGTGAAGGAGTTCCCATCACTCTTAGGGTTGCAACATCTCTGAATCAATGTAAATGGATATAGGTTTGTAATAAATGTACATAGATGTGATACTTTCAGTATTTATGTGTTTCTATAAAATATCCAGCATATCATATATACCAGCACTGAAATAGGAAAGTGGAAGTTCCTTCCATTTATGGTGGCTTTCATTATTTTTTTCTTCTTTCCTATTTTGAAAACACCATTTTATGTATGTTACTGATATCCATAGGAGTTACACAAAAGAATACAGAGAGAGAGGAAAAAGAGAGAATTAGAAATATGTACTGTGCTTCATTTCTGACTGTTATTGAACTCTGTTACATTCCAAAGCTTCTTTACACATTACAGAGTATGTAGACTTGGTCCAGGGTCTCCATCTTGTGTAACACAGTCACAGGTGACTTGTAGGTTCTCCTCAATTTCTGATTTGGATTGTAGTTTTTGCTCCCCTCTCCTCTGCAAGAGGGAGACTGAAGCCCCTTCTCCATGTGTGCCAGAATCTGAATCAGGCATTGTACACATGGAAAGTGAGGATATTCCACAATTCATGTCTGACATTGAGTGGGGACCCTAAACCCAACATCTGTCCTCTGTGATGGGTAAAGGAATCATTCTTAAAAAAAATTTCCTCCTGAAAATATAGGGTTGCCAACTCCAGGTTGGGAGATTTGGGGGTGGAGTCTGGGGAGTGTGAGGTTTGGGGAAGAGAGGGACCTCAGTGGGGTATAATGCCATAGAGTCCACCCTACAAAGCAGCCATTTTTTCCAGGGGAACTGATCTCTGTCATCTGAAGATCTGTTGTAATTCTGGGACATCTTCAGGACCCACCTGCAGGTTGGCAACCCTGTGTGGCCCTTTGGCCAAAGATTGCTTTAGATAGTTGCATAATTTATGGTGTTATGAACTGTCTGTATGGCCCTTTGAATGAATGAGTTTTCTGCCTTTTCACTGGTTGCTGATCCTTTCCTCCCCTATACAAAATGTTATGCAAATACAGTAGCAATTTTGTTTTAACATTGCAAATGATTAATTTTAAAATAATAAAACAAAAAAGGGGCCAAACTCAAGAGTTATCCTCTTGACATGATTTCAGCCAACCCTGATGAGGAAGCTAGAAAAGACCTTTTTAGTATAGATGGCTATGAATATGAGCTCAAGCCCTATACTGTTTTTTTAAAAAAAAACAATTACATGAACTCTTGTAATGACAATGATGCTTTTCACCTCTCTAGGCCTTGCCATTTGTGGATCTCAGAATGGATTATAAAAGAATAGTGATTTAAGACCCGCAGATCCTCTGAGAGATAGGTAAGCATTATTATTCTCATTTTACAGATAGGGGAATCATGGACAGAGAGGTTTAGTGATTATTTCCTTTCCCCCCCATCCCTGCCAAGGCAGAACCAGAAATAGAGCTCAGATATATTGTCTTTATAGCTTCTACTTTAAGCACATTATCATCCTTCTTTCAGTATAACCTCTCTGACTCTACTTCCCCGACTGTAAAGCAAGGATAATAATATAGATTTCTGCACAGGCACATTTGTGTGCCTGCAGAAAAGTGAGGAGAAGGATAGTCCTGACCCCACTTTAGAATCCCATCCTTTCTCAGGATTTTGAAAAGTTTTCTCTTACATTTTGTGGAAATGAACTAATTCAGCAGTGCAGGAGATTGGCTACATTTCCTGGTATGGTGAATGTATAAGTTTCAAAATGGCATAATTGGTTATTGGTAGGGTGATTTTGGAAATACTCAAGAAGAAGACTCATAGTACAAGGTAGCTGTTAATTTCCATCACAGAAAGTCTTCTAAAAAATAGATTTGCAGCTGTTTTACCTATTCAGTATAATTCCACTAGCAGCTAAAATTATACAAAAGGAGTTTATTTAATAGTTAAATTTGCAGAACTACGGCATAACTTTTATTATAGATTAATTTCCGCAATTTAATTAAGATGCCTGAGTAGCATCTTCCCCTTTATGAAAACCATCAGAAAACCATGTCTGGGGGAAGTATTCTGCTGCAGGAATCAGAATTCCATTCACAGCCATTGAAACCAGTGGATTTTGGGACCACTTCCAAGTAACATCACACAACTTTTTTTCTCACCAAGAAAGAAATGTAAGAATCTCACCTCAGTTAACACTGGGCAAGTTTATGTTTTCATTTTTATGTTTAGCATTTTTTTACTATATAGCATTAGTGGTGTATTTTATGGACCTATCACACATTATGCAGGGGCAACCCAAATTTGCCATTGAGCATCCAAGAACATCCTGTCCCAGATCTCCCTGTTCCTTCTCCCTATGACCCATTTGTGAGAGAGTCACAACCTAGTTTGGGACTCCGACCTACTGTTTGAGAACCACTGCTTTAATTCTAAGACCGTCTTCTCCATGAATCCCCACTATCTGTAAGATATGAGGTGTTTACTGTGATGGTCATGATGAGCAAGGTAAACCTGCACAGATAGTACTGTGATTAACCTCAGTTGAACGTCTTAAATTTAAAGCAGTTATAGTCCCATGGAACTAAACTGACAAATCTAGGGTTGCTAACCTCCAGGTGGGGCCTAGAATTCTCCCAAAATTCCAATGGATCTCCAGACCACAAAGATCTGTTCACCTGGGAAAAATAGCAGCTTTGGATCATGGACTGTATGGAATCACATCCCACCCTGAGCTCCTTCCTCTCCCCAAATTCCATCCTCTGCAGGCCCCATCCCCAAATCTCCAGGAATTTCCCAACCTGAATTTGGCAACCCAACTTAAATCCAAGTCTTTCATTTCAGTGATTATTTCTGCTCAATTTCCTTTCTGTCTTTGATGAAATCAAATTGCTTTACTGGTGTGTGGCTCCAACTGACAAAGTAGTCCTGTATTTAATGTCTATGTCTGTATGCAGTAACTTAATGAACATGAACTCAACAGCATGTATTGGAATCCAGCATGATCTGTTGTATTGAAGATACTCATCCACTATTCAGAATTCACACACAGGCAACTATTATGTACGATTATAAGGACTTGGATATTGTTATATATGAGCATATGATAGGTATGTGTTTCCTTAGGGCTTACAATAATATTGCTCGATAAGGCTTTCTGTTCAGCTTTTATACATCTGGCCATTTATTATACTTCCCATAAACATGGGGACATAGTAAATACACTAACAGAGTTACACTCTTCTAAGACCTTTGACTTTGGTGGTTCTAGAATGGTGAAATTCTGCTTAGGCTATAAGACTATAAGAGAGCAGTCCTAAACAGGTCTGTTCAGAAGTAAGTTCCATTTTATTTAGTGGAGATTACTCTCAGGAAAGCATTGTTAGAATTGTAGCCTAAACATTGCATTTGGAAAAGCTTACCTGTGTTTCGCTTTACAAGTGTGGTGTAGTGGTTAAGAGTGTTAGAATAGTGCCTGGGAGCCCCAGGTTTGGATCCCCATTTGTGCCTTGGAAGCTCACTGGGTGACACTGGGCCAGTCACAGTCTCTCAGCCTAACCCATTTCACAGAGGTTTTGTGAGGGTAAAATGATGAGGGGAGAACAATGTAAGCTACTTTTGGTCCCCATTGGGATGAAAGGTGAGGAATGAATGAATGAATGAATGAGATGTAAGGGAACTTTGTGCTTCCAGTCCCAACCTGCAATCCATCCCTCCTCCAGCTCATCCTTCTAAAGGCCTTCATTGACTCTGTTTGTATGAGCAAGGTATTCTGCATAGCAGATGTTTCATCAATACTTCCTTGCTCAATATCTTGGTTGATTCATATGCTTGTATTTCTCCAATACCAGTGATTTTACACAGTTGTTGATTATCACTTTCATCAACTTTTGTGGCAGCATTTCAAGAGACTGTTAAGGTTACCAGTATAGTTGTCATCTCTGGTTGTGAAATTCCTGGAGATTTGGGGTGGAGCCTGGGGAGGGACCTTGACAGGGTATAAAGCTATAGAATCCCCCCTCCAAAGCAGCCATTTTCTCCAGGGGAACTGGGTCTCTGGCAATTTCAGTTGCCAACCTCTAGGTGGAGCATGGAGATCTTCCAGAATTTCAGCTGCTCTCCAAACCACAAATATTAGATCTTCTTGAGCAAGTGGCTGCTGTGTAGAGTGGAATCTAGGGTATTATACCCAACAAAGATCCATTCCCCTCACCAAAGCCACCCTTCCCAAGTTTCACCCTCAAATCATCATGAATTTCCCAATCCAGATTCAGAAACCCCGGAGATTGTACCTGCTGGAGTTACTGATTCATATAAATTCACTTGAAACTATATATACATTAAATAGGTTAAAAACTAGGTTGAAGTGAGTTCAGGAATTGCTCTCCCTGGAAAACTGATTGTGTAAACAAGTCCTCAGTCTATTATTTTAATAATAAAAAATCTAGTGTATATTATAATTGGTTTTTAATTGAAGGTGTCCCCTGTGGAGGGGTGTAAAGCTCTGTGATGACATTGCTGTAACAGAACTGTATATTTTGCTTGATTTTATCAATACTTTAGAGGTGGCTTCCCAAACAGTAAATACTGTTTGTATTATTTACTTATTTAAATAAATTTTACTCTCAAAATATCACTTTTTAAATACTTAAAATCATATTCTGTGGGGGGGGGTTGTGGGAAATTATCTCAGTTTTTTTAAAATCTTTACTGTGATTTACATGACTAAACTCAGCAGAGAGTTAGAAAACCTCATTGTACTTTTATCTCAACAATTCCCTCCTACAAAATCTCCTCAACACTGCTTCTCCATATATGGTTTTTGCTACTTTGATGTCAAAACTTTTAAGAGAAAAATTGCAAAAGGAATTTTTCAAGGAAAGAAGTCCTTAATACATTAAGTAAAAACATAATGAGTGAGAAACTGTATCATACTTTTTGTTGCAATAAAAAGTGAAAAGGTACGGTTCCTTTTTGGAAAATATACATTGTTTTTCTTAGGACTTTGGTGGGAGGTTTGGTGCTCAGTACTCACCAGTACTGAGTACTTGCATCTGGGGCGGGGGGTCTCCAAGCCCTAAAGGGGGATGGGTGAAATCAATACAACCGTATATCTGAGTACCAGCACTTTTTAAAAAACAAACAAACAATGGTTTGTCTGCTCTAGCAGCTTGCTGAATAATGCTGAGATCAAAAAGGCTGCTTACATTCCTGCAAGATGTCTATACTAACATAGTGGAATTTTTGAGTTTTTTTCCTTTCTTTCTTAGAACAGCTGAGGCAACTGTTCTCAGTTTCAAAAGTAGTTTACTACAAGGTTCAACAGATTTGTGCGGGAGGGGGTCTTTCTGTAGCTTTTTATCCTTCTCCTCTTCTGATTAGCTGAGTGTGTCAGCTAATTCTCCCCTCCTCCATTTTTATCTTTCTGTGAGGAAAGTTATACTAAGGAAAACTGACCAAAGGTCTTCCAGGTGAGCATTGTAGTTGACTTCAGAGGACTTAGAAGGATATTATTCTGCTAGGATAGCACTGTAAATCACTTTTGGGCTCATATAATTATTTGTATAGTTCTTTGGATCATAGCCAATGCACTTTTCTACAATTTAGGAACTTGGCATTTTACAACTAATCTGTGTATTTGTAAAATTCAGTGTAAAAATGTGAATAGCACTGTTCAGGACCCCAAATAAAACTTCTTCTTACATCTAATAATGCCTTCAATCGCTTTAGAACCAAATTTTAGTCATAATTCGTTACCATAAAATGCGATAAAAATGAAGTTTTTAAAAAAACTTTCATAGCCTTATGAGTAAGGTGAGAGTATGCTTCTTTCTTATGAACGTGCTCATATGAAATAAGCTGCCCAGCTCACACAGCTTCAGTACATCTTTTATATTATGCCTCTTCACTTTAAAGAGACCATTGTCAATGCAGGGTGCATCTCACATTCAGCTCCAAGCTATCAAGTATTTATTTGTTTAGACAATTTGCATACTGCCTCTCCAAAGAACCTGCTTGAAGGGGCTCAAAAAGTAAAACATGATAAAATCCTAAAGTCATAAAAATCATAAACAATAAGAATCACTAGTTCTTACGAGAGTGGATGTATACTGTATATACAATATATGAAGTAAAGATGTGAATCTACCCCAAATTAGTATATGCTAAATACCAGCAGTAGTAGCTGATCTTATAATAATTCTCTTGAAAGATGTATGCAGGGAAGGCTTATATACCTTTAACTTATTTAAAAAAAATTTAAAAAAAATCCCTTATACTAAATATCACTCTAAAGCTTGATATACTTTTTGACATGTCTTGTAATTCTGCCCTAGTTTGTTTCTTAAAATACTGCTTGGATTAGATTCTAATAGTTTATTTGTAATAAATCTTTACATTTATTACCACCCAGTGGTCTCAGGGAATGGTTGAAAGGCGCACGATGCAGCATTATTGCAGTTTTAGGTCTGGCTGGGAAACAGGCTTGCTGTTCTCCCACTGTGAGGGGGATGCCCTGTCCCCAGCTTCCAGCAGGACTAGGATTGCAAAATAGGACTGGATTGCAGAAATCTGAAAACAAGGCATAAGTATTAATGTATTAAACAGTGCAAGACATAGTATTTACGTAAGTAGAACTATAATGCAGTGAGGCACTTATCAGCATTTTACTAAACCACTTTGAAAGCTTGTCATGACATACAAATCCAAACAGATAGCTGTGGTAGTCTGTAGTAGCAAAATAAAACAGAAATAAAGTGCCAGTGGCACTTTAAAAACTAACAAAATTTATTCCACCATACAATTTAATGAGTCAGAGCTCATATATCCATTTCGAAGATGTTCTTATACTAAAAGCTGCCAACAACTGAAAGATTGGAGGAGGTTTCAAAGAGAGGCCTATAGAAAACAAAATGTAATTAAAAGAGTAATCAGTCTACTCTGAGTGGGTGAGAACTGTTCCCAACATAAAATTAGATCTGATCTAAGAAAGTATAGACTAAAACATGATGAAGCTGGTCCAATCAGAAAGTATAAAGATGTAGTGGAACTAATTAACATCTGCAAGGGGTGGGATACATTAAGATTTTGTCTATTTTGTCTCCTATAGTGAGTGAGAAACCCCAAGTCCTTATTAAGTACGACTTGGGGGGGGGGGGATAGTTCTTGATGAATCTTAATTCACAAATTTTGCATCAGATCCTTCTGTTGAATTTTAAAAGAAAAATAGTGACTTCTAGATCAGACTTCTAGATCAGAAACCCATTAGGGTTGCCAGCTCTGGGTTGGAAAATACCCGGAGACATTGGGGGTGGAGCTGGGTGAGGTCAGGGTTTGGGGAGGGGAGGGGAGGGGCCTCAGCATGGTACAGTCCCATAGAGTCCACCTTTCAAAGTAGCCATTTTTCCAGGGGAGCTGATCTCTGTCAGCTAGAGATCAATTGTAAAAGTGGGAGATCCCCAGGCCCCACCTGGAGGTTGGCAACCCTGCACCCCATCCATCTAAACCCATCTGTTTATGGATGGACACTTCATGCATCTGATGAAGTGAGCTCTCATTAAAAACTGTTTTTGCTGGAATAAATTTAGTTAGACTTTAAAGAACCACTGGGCTCCTGTTTTATTTCACATTGCAAGTTCATTTGTTGGAAAGTAGAATCACCCAGCCCACAGAAGGCCAAGTCAGTCCTCAAGTCCCTGCTTGAATCTCCCTGTTATTCCTGTATCCATGCCAACAGTAATTTCTGTTTGTTTTTTAAAAAAACCAGACAAAAGTCTCAGGAAAGGCCTCTGCTCTGTATGGAAAAGGTCCCAGAATCATCTCTGATATAGGAATCTCAGGTAGCAGCACTGGGAAGATCGCTGTCAGTAGTCTCAGAGCTCTCCTTTTCCTCATCTTAGGTAGTACAGAACTGAACATGTCAACTCCTTACACCGATATCTTGTGTCACTTGATGGTTTACAGCTGACTTTGCGTAATGCCTCCATTGTAAAGCAGCATCTTTAAAGTGAAGAAATATGATATGAAAGCACTCTCTCTCTAGTGGTGCAATCTGGGTTGGCTGTTTCACACATAATGTTCATCAAAGAAAGGAACAAGAATAGTGATTTCACCCTCAGATAGGTAATGATTCTGTGGTGGATGAAAAGGAATTTTCTATCATATTTTGAAAGTAATGACCTAAGATAAAATAGGTATTAAATAGAAGTAATGTATTATTGGAGGTATAGAGTGTTCTGTTAGTTTGATGTCAGGATGTGGGCCAAATGAGATGAGACAGCAGGTGTGCCATCCTCTTATTTGAAGCATGTTTGTTTTTAAGTAGAGTCCGCCAGCAGAGGGTTGGGTTTATAATCTGCAGGGGCTTTAAGTATCTCAGTTTCCTTTCATCAAAGTCTGTCTATCTATTATCTCATTCTCATAGGGAAGCTGATTCTGTAGGGAGGGTTGCTGAATGGATTATCCAGATTACATAGGACATTTCCTCACCAGCAATGAAACAGCCAACTCTAACAGTGAACAGCTGGACAGGGTGAAGAGAATCACTTGGATAACTGAGTTGTTGCAGGGATTTATTTTTTTTGGGGGGGGTATGTGTGTGCATGTCTGGAAGTCATGGCTGACTTCTGGAGTGGCGATCCCTAGTAGAGTGTGGAGGCAAGGGACATTCAGGCTATTTCCTGCCTCTATGTCACAGCCCTGATATTCCTTTGGAGGTCTCCCATCCACGTACTTGCCAGGGTTGGCACTCCTTAGCTTCTAAGATCTGACGAGATCAGGCTTTCCTTGGCCGTCCAAGTCAGGGCAGTAGGGAAATATTATTGTGTAGAACACCCTTGATTTCTGAGGCTAGCCAAGCTGAAAGTTCAGCTCTAACCTAGATCACCAGAGTGGGCACAGATAGTATATATGGAGAATTGTTTTTTTTTAAAGTCATTGTAAATCACAAAAATACTTTACTCTGGTGACTGCAGGTACAATTGGGCTGACTCCAGCCATGGCAAGTGGCAATCTTTACATTTATTTAGGGATAAATGCCACTAAAATCAGAGGGACATGCATCTCCAGTTGAATTCATTGGGGAGTATTGAGCATGTGCTTAATTCTCTCCAGCTGAAATAAATCAGATTTTTAAATGGCTACCTTTGAATGAATCATACACAATTATTCGTTACCATTGGATGGTTTTCCTGTCAGCTATACTAAAATGAGGAACTGAATCAAAATTATTACTGTTTCTTTGATTTAACATAGAGTACCAACAGTATGCCAAGAACCATATTTAATGTATTGTTCTGTTGTGTCTGATAATACCTGAAGTTTCTTTCTTTTCCCCAACAGCACGGAAAAGGATATGCTAGTCAATTCTACGGGACTTACCTGAAGCAGCATGATTTGCACAAAAGTCGACCAACAAAAGCATCAACTTTTCAACTTCATTATCTTGGCCATCCAGTTCTGTGTTAACTGAAGAATTACTGTGCTATTGGAGACATCATGGCCAACAATAGGACCTAACTGCTCTCAGCAGGCCTGAGAAATGAGTTGAATTGTATGGAACTGTAGAAACTTCAAGAGGCAACTGATTTTTGCCTCTCTGATCAGTGTGTGCCTGTTTACAGCACTATATAGCTCTCTCTTTCTCTCTCTAAAATGTCACTGAGCCCTTTAGATGTTTATATTCGCCACAAGAAGCCAATCGTACAGATTTTAAAAAAGGAAACGTGCATTATAAATGCAATATCACTGTTTTAAACTTGACTGTTTTATATTATTTTTGTGTGATCAAGTGTCCCCCAAACTATTCCAACTTTACAAAAGAAATTGTGAATCATGTTCTTTTCACCCGTGGGTCATAAAAATGTTGTTAATCTAAAGACCCACAAAATATCAAAGACATTCTGTAGTTTATACACCGTGTTGCAAAGTGTTTACTGTACTATTTCAAAGCTTCTAAATAAATATAAAATATATATATTATATTACATATAATTTTACGGGAAACGTGGTACCATTTAGTTGATTTTTAAATGAATTCATACAGTCCGCACCATACACTAAAGTGAGAAGGTAATTCAGGGTCCTTAAATTATCCTTGCCTAAACAATAAAATAAAACTTTAATAATACTTCCCCATTTTTGTACTTTGGTCAATCCTGTTTGTCCTTGTTAAAAAAAAAAAGAGCTGTAAGCAGCAACAGTTCCCCCCCCCCGAAAATTGTACTGAATTTTCAATGCCAAAGATACAGCTGTCAATAATTATGAAAATGAGCACTGACTATGTACTATCAAAAGTATATATATCAACCTCCATTATTTTAATTCTATTTCTATGGCTTTTAATTTGAAATCAAAAAAACTTTTTATAAAGGCGCTATAAACTCACCTGTATATGTTGTTGAAAAGTACACTGGGTGTCTGTACATTTTGCAATGTAAGATACAATGTAAGCAAAGATAATTATTTTAAGGAAACATCCCTCCCCCCTGCCCACAACTGATAGCTAACATTCATGGTCCTTTGTCATTTTGTGCAAATATATCTTTTCATGCTGGCTTGCAGTAGTTTTTGAAAAAGACCATTCTCAAAGACATACATGTTGCCAAGCCATTAATTTGAATTTGTCTCTAAAAGAAGAAAAAAGAAGCAATTTGAAGTTAGGAATAGACTGTACCAACTTCACTGGTAATCAGGTTGGTCCCTCCTGTGTTATTTTTGTAGTAATTTCATGACTTGAGAAATATCAGAAAGGGTATTTTTATTAGAAAAACAATAAATTGTTCTAAAACTCAAAACCTGGCAAAGTAAAGCTGAACCTTTACTTTCATGTTCTCTGATTATAAGTACCATTGAAAAAAAGTGATATACAGTAAGGTGTATGGGGTTTTTTTTATTCTTGCTTTGCTGTCTTTTTTTCTGATGACTACCTGTCAAGTGTTCAAAAGAAACCATAAAATTCTGTCTGTGATAACAGCAACTGTTTCAGATGAAGGTGCTTAGATACAACAGCCCTTTGAACAAGGGAAAAACATAATCTTTCAGAAAGGGTTTGGATCACATCCAAGGACAATCAATTTGCATCCTGGCTCATGCTGAATACTGTTCACAGGGTAAAAAAAAAAGACTCGGTGTTAGGGTGGAGAAAGTGGCTCATATTTTTTTACAGAAGTAAAAAGACTGTTACACTGATCCAGAGCCCCATGTGTACAACAATGCGCTCCTGGAGCTTTTGCGCATGCAGGCTTCCCTATTTACTTCGGTGGATGGGAGAGCTCTGTGCATGCATCCTTTTGCACTTGTGGGTTCATGTGCATCAAATGACGCCATGCCTGCAAAATTTTCCTAGATGAGACCAACAGTCCCTCTGGAGTTTATCCCATCAATCATTCTCCACTGTATTCCCACTAATATGAATGGGAATTGTGTATAGATAAGGTTTCAAGTATTGTACTGTGAGATTACATTAGTTTCCAAAGTCTTAATATTCCTAAATACATTTAATGCGTATTTCTAAACTCGTTGTATATTTACAAGGATTTATTGGGATCCTTTTAACAATGTATATTATATATGAATCACAGTAAAAGCACAGAAAATGACCATTAATTTGAGAAAACACAACCGTGAAATGTTCTTTAGCTTTAGGAAATGGGAGTTTTGGTCACCTCTATGCCTTGTTAGTTTTTTGAAAAATGGACTATTTTAGTAATGAATTGTGTGAAGAATATTTCATTTGAAGAAGTCTGTCAACTTGTTGCTGCTTTTAAGTCAAGAAATGGAATGCCCATCCTAGAACTGGTTTTGCTTTATTTTTATAGCCTCTCTAAACTGAGGTATATACTATACATTAGGGTTGTTTCTAGTCCTGTGGAGAGAGAAAAAAATCACATTTTTCTTTTTTATAGACTACTAAAGTTTTTGATATACTGAGATCTCGCTCACATTTTGCATGCAACCTTTTGGAAGGAAAAATAGTTATGTTGCTACAGTGTCATCTGTCTGCGCTAGTGCATTTATTCCATCTCTCTGCGTATAACTATATTTAATAGGCCTATGTATATATCCATTTCATGCTTTAGTGTTTCCTTATCCTCATATCTCTTAATATGAACAACACAAGGGGAGTCAATGGGGGCTTACATGGGGGGGGGAGATTGAGTTGGGCTTTTTAATGGTGTGTGGCCTATCCAGGGAAATAGTGTACAATTACATTACTCAAGGGGGACCCATTCTTTCTCATTATCCTGCTTAAGTAGATGAAATATGCTTGTGGTGGTAAAGTCACAACTATGTGACTTTATGATGCCAGTATCACTTGCTGAATATTTCATTTGAATGTGTCCTCATACGGTAATTTATGGTGTTTGCCATCCAATCAAAACCCATTAAAATTAGATTGTTTCCTGACATGGTAAATATCGGGGCTCAAATCAAATAGTTTGCTACTCAAAACTGATGTGAGAAAACCACTTCATGGACAATGTAATTATTTTTTTAAGAAAAAAACCTTCAATCAGGCCTTCCTTCACAATGATGGATACATTAGGAATCATCCTGCCTTCTACTTGCTAGCAATTCTTTAACAAAAGCTTCTACTAGATTTAAATGTTTAGGTTTTAACTTCATAGGCTTGACAGAACTATACTACTGTTGTTGTAGGTATGAAATGGAACTGGAAATATGGGGTGAGGGGTGCTTCAAGACTCCCAATTGCTAGCACTATCATCCTCCCATGAATTTTGGTGGTGTCTGCATAGCAGCATCAAAAGCAGAATGAGTTGTGGTGGTATTTTTGCCAATGAAATAAGTGTGTGCTTCCAAGCCTAAAGGAGTTCTCTTGATCACAACCTACACAATCCACTTCCAGAGAGCTGTTCTTCATACATTTCTGAATGCTAAATGTTTGTGCTGGTTGAAAGGATCATCAAAAGGTTGTGTGATACAGTTCTGTTGCTGAATCTAAAGAGGATTGTATTTGAACAATGGTCGATATGAGACACCATCAACTTCATGTAAGCCATTCTGATCTTTTTTGGGGAAGAAAGAAAAGGGTATTGGTGTAATTATTAGGTTTACAAAGAGATATTTCCAAAAGGAAGAAAGAATATGCAGTCCTGCAGGCTGGAAAAGGGTACATTTACTGCATATATTTTAAAATAATTTTCATCAAATTCAAAACAACACTGGTGAATATGTTGCTTTTGCATTTTTCTTACAACGAAATCATATATGTGCCAAATATCATAATATAATAAAAATCTTCAGGGTTGTTTTTAAGCCAGTAGACTGGATTTTTCAACTGTTGAGTTGTTTGGTTTTTCCCACCCCAAAGCAAAAAAATAAGGCATTTAAGTATTTTCTTGATTTCCTGAATCATATTTAGAAGGCTATGATATTAAAAAGAATCTTCTGAGGGAGAATATTTTCTAATAGCACAGAAGTATGCGAAATGACATGTAAATATTATAGCCAGAATGCACAAGACTGTATTGAGTTGGGCGCATACAACAGCAGGACTTCTGGATCCCCTTCCTCCAACAACATCTCTGTGCTCTGATTGGTTTTCCTTGGCAAGCAGAATCATTAATCAGATTGAGGAACTGCTGTGTTTTCAGCAGCAACAGCTTAAGCTGGAGGTCTAAAGTTAATTTCATGATCCTGGGCAACACAGTCCAATTATAATTATTTTAGCTTATAACACCTTGAGAACTGTAAATAAAGCCTTATGTTTTAGTTGTTAAAATATCTGGATTTTACTTAGTTTTTTCAAACTTTGCTTTCTGCCCAGAATAAATATATGGACTCACCCTGCAGTGTAAGGGGGGAAACATAGTATAAAGGTGCAACTCGCTTTTTAATAAAATGGGAGGTTAGTGTTCTTTAATTAGAGCAAGAATTCATCCCTTTATTGTGTATATTTAAACTTTCAAGCAGATACTGGGTTGGACTTTTTCTGGGTTCAGCTTTTTCACTGAATCTTGCACGATTTCCCTTCATACTACATCTTCCACCCTGCTTGACTTTTGTACATATAGGTCTCATGATTCTCAGTATAGCCTTCTTTGGATGGCCAAAGAGTGCCCCTCCTTCCTTTGTCACAAGCAGAAATGCTGGTTGGATCCATCTCATTGTGACCAGGGGCCACCTATTTGTTAAAAGGAATGATAACTGAATTCCTTCTATTTCGTAAAGATGGGAACTACTCAAGAACTGTCATGCTTCCATGGCTCCATAGAGTGCTTCAGCTGTCCTTTGCCATTGTTTCATGTTGCTACCCTCACTTGGGTTTGTTAATGGATGTTTGCATAGGTTTCCATAAGGTCAGAGCAATGATTCAGCAGTTCTTTAGTAATAGAACTCATAGACTTCTTCAGCTTCAAAGACTTCCCCAAAAGCAAAGGGAGAGGCACACCAAGCTACCCTCATTGAAGAAAATGGGGAGCTTTGCACATAAACTACTATGATTGGGTCTGTGCAAGTCTTACAGGAAATAATTGGGCTTGCTTTCCAGCACAGCTAACGGTAAAGGTAAAGGTTTCCCTTGCTTGAAAGCCAGTCAAATCCAACTCTAGGGGGCAGTGGTCATCTCCGTTTCCAAGCCGAAGAGCCAGCGCTTTCCAAAGACTTTTTCCGAGGTACACGGAATGCTGTTACTTTCCCACCAAAGTGGTACCTATTTATCTACTTGCAATTTCTTGCTTTTGAACTGCTAAGTTGGCAGGAGCTGGGGCCACAGACAGGAGCTCACTCCATCATGCAGCACTCGGGTCTCAAACTGCCAAGCTACCAACCTTCCAGTCTGCAGCTCAGCGTCTTAACCAGCACAATTCCCATTAATTTCAATGTGGCTTTCCCTAGTACAGTTCCTGATGGCTTGTGCTCACAATCCTAAAACTCATAATAAACTTTTTA